CATCGAATACAATAGGCTTCTTCTCTCTTTCTTTTATTATGGTATCGTCTTTCAAAAAAAAAAAAAAGAAAAAAGGAGAATGGGAATGATATGGAAAGGGCTTCTTCCGGGTCGATTTAAGCCTTACATTTATGGTGGGAATGATAGGTAAAATCGCGTGATCGAGATTCTATTATTGTCTTTTAATTTCATGTTAGTTAATGAAATAGAGTAGAAAATATTGTATATAAAAAAAAAAAAAAAAATAAAATGAAATTTATATGGAAAAGTATATATTGTATATCCTAGATGGATTGTGTTGGAACGACGACGCCAGGAGCACTGCTGCCGTCTATATTGATTTTGGACTGCAAGGTAGATGAGAGAAAGAGAGATGGAGAGAGAAATTAGAGGAAGAACGGAGAAGGAATCAGAGAGAATAATTCTATCTACGAAATAATTCTGCTTCGATTTGGTATTCAAATCAAACCAGAAACCAAAAACCTTGATGATGATCAACATTTCTAAAGTGAAAATTCTTATGGGGAATATATATTATTATCGTCTAAACTTATTACACGATTATTTTCATTGAAATTATATCAAAAAAAGAAAAAAATTCAAATGAAATCGAAACGATTGATAATCTTGTTAAGATTTTTAACGAGAACGATTATGATAATATCTAAAGATAAGATGATCTCGTTAAAAGGTAAACAAAAAATGTTACTGATAAATATTTCATTCTCTATTTGTCACACCTCGAATAATTTCTTCTAAATATGATAAAAATTACGTTGACGATGATATTATCATCGTTTACGACACACATACCTTTAATTATAAGGAAAAATAAGAAAAATATTTCAAAGAAAAGTACAACACAACATCGTTATATACCTTAAGTGTTTCTTCTTGTATCTACGAGCAAAACACGGAAACAGACGTTTACCTTTTGATAAGACTACACGAAAGATAAAAAGATAAGAGAACTATAATTTAATAAAAAAAATAAACATGACACTTAACTTAAGAATTAATCTGTTTTTTTTTTTCTTTTATGAGGTATTCAATATATATCTGAACAGAGACACGATTGTCGATAAAATAATCAAAATGATATTCCATTTTGGAAATTATGATCTCATTCGTAATCAAAAATTCCTACAATGATTGGTAAAAGGATGAATTTTTCCAATTTTTTTTTGTTCTCTCTATAACATTTAAATTAAAATACAGCATAATTTTACAAAACTAGACTTTGTCATTTTACAATATGAATAAAAAAGAATTTGGGAAGGAGGAGGGGGGTAAAAGAAAAAATAACAAAAAAAAAAAGAAACAATGAAGCATTTATACGACAAAGAGATTCGTCCGCGTGTTATTAACGCAAATTATTCTCGTGAATCGCATCTTTCAACGGGGCAATTAGTCACGGATTATTACCAAGCCCGACACGAACTTCTTAACACGAAAGTGAAACTCGCATAATCTTGGTACCTCCTTGAAAATAATAATAATAAAAAAAAAAAAAATAAAAACGATACGTTATTGCACGTTTACCCTCCTCCCCTCCTCCTCCTCCTCCTCAACATCGTGTGAACTACCATTCGAACTGCGACAAATAGATGATTTGATTTATTTTTGATATTTTTGATATATTTTCATTTGGTGGGGAAAAAAAGTGTAATCGCAATTTTTGGAAATGACCTAATATCATTTTTTTCATGAAATCGATCCAATTAAAACGTGTTAGTGTTACAATTCGAAAACCCGTTTCGAATAATACATACTTTGGGATTATGTAACCGATTTATTTAACTGATCAAGGACACCGACATTCTAATCGACGTGACGACGATGACGACACGATTTACCACCGATTTTCTCATCTAACTTTTCACTTTTAACGTGCTAAAACCTTTTTCTTCAAAGTCTTCTTAAAAAAACAACAATTTTCTTTTTCCCCTCTTCGACATTTTTTATTCCAATGAAATTTGAATGCATGAAAAATTGTTCTATTGAAAATGTATTACATATATCTATTGAATTGTAATCATTTGGAAATTAGTGAATGATTTTATTCTAAGACATTAGCATAAATACTAAACTCTATTTGTGGTTCTTATCCTATACACGTTAGGTTCATTCCTAACGATTTCTCCTAGCACAGTGTTTACGTTTACGAGAAAGGTCGATATTAGAATTATAATTACTTGCACGTATGTGTATTTCATCAAAAATCAATGATAATTTAATAACGTGAAATTAGTGAATAAATATCGTACGTATTTACATTTCAATCTATTACAACACATTCTTTTTAAATTAATTATCTCGAACAAATTGTAATAAATTTCCGTCAACAAATTCTAACTATGCCAAAAAAAAAAAAAAAAAAACATTTGTGTGTATGTGTATGATTACAACACATTCTTTTTAAATTAATTATCTCGAACAAATTGTAATAAATTTCCGTCAACAAATTCTAACTATGCCAAAAAAAAAAAAAAGAAAACATTTGTGTGTATGTGTATGTTTACAAGAAGACGATTAAAAAAAAATAGGAAAAAAAAAAATACCTTATGGAGATTTGCCAACTCAAAATATATATTGTTCGAATGTTTTTGCGCGAGATACTGCAATAGTCAAGTCAAGAATTTAAGATAATACAAATAGTGTTTTATTCAAAAAGAAAATATCAAAATTACATTATCATCCTTTAATTAATATTTATTTCTTTATCATACGTGAAATATTTTATTATCACATAAAAAGATAAGAATGTAATAAGTAATAGATCGATAAGTAATATTATTAATTATTTTCGATATACGTTCGATATGTGTTCGATATAATTTCGATTATCGGTACGCCATTTTTGTAATATGACCAGGTGTGCAAAGAAGCAATGCACGATTTTTCAATCTATTCATGCAAAAATATATAAATTATGATTTAAATCATTAAAAGAAATATTAAATAATGATGTCATTTCGATATTACATCATCAAGACCAACTAAACATATCGACAAATTACATATTACAAAAATGGATATTTAAAAAATGTTTATAACAACGAAAGATATTTTTAATTAATTACCGTTAGAAGATTGTTAAAATTGTTTAATAAAAGCTCAGTCCTCTCAGAAGAACAGCCGTAGAATATTCTCTTTCTCTTCCTCTCTTTGGGCTCAGGTGAATGAAGTTTCTTCGATAACACTTTACTACTTTGTTGCACTAACACACACTTGTCACAATTAATTATAATAATAAGAAGAAAAAAATAATAATTATCAATTGAAAATAAAAGAAACAATAAAACACCGAACGTATACACGCGCGCGATCGAAAAGATAATTGCAAAATAGAACCACGCGTTTTAACATACGAAATTATAAGAGTGAATATGACAGCACGTCCTTCCACGACAAACTCGCGCCTGCGACTGACCGAACGATAGCTCAATTCGACTCGAGCGCCTCTACCGGCAACTAAGTAAAGCGCGCGTAAAACAAATTATCGAATCGTATTCTTAATTATTAGATTATACAATAAATTACCGTAAATAATGATAGAATGTTTTTTTTTCTTTTTTAATTAACTTTCTAATGCTTTTAAATATCTTTTCATCATAATCACTGTTTATATTTCGAACAATTTCTAATATTTTATTTAATTTAAACTCGGACGACAAAAACGCGCGAATTTGACTGTTCACCATGACACTTTTAAACAATGCATGCAACAATAAAAAGAAAATAAATAGAGGATAAAATTGGCACCCCTGTTTGTTCTTTATAATGATGTATAAATAGCGCCAAATTTAAAATAATATAAAACGTAATGAAATTATCATCGATCTAATATTTAAAATCACAATGTGATTTAAACATGAAATAATTATATACATTTTTAGATATGTTTTCTGTACATTTTAGTATGAAAATAAAGAGCTGAAATTTGAAATATGTAATGAACCATAAATATGGCATGTGTCAATGACCGTGAGACAACGGGGTCCAGCTTAATTTCATCAAAGTATATATCGTGTCCTTAACTGTAAACGGAAGAGTGTGAGGAAGAAGGGTTGAGCAAAGAGAAGCTTCAAGATATCGAGCAAGAAACGAAACGCGCTCGTATAATTCGCGTTCTTGACGTTCTGCACCGGTACCATTACCATTACCATTACCATTCCAGGGTATCTCTTTCTCTTTCTTTCTTACACATATATACATTCATTCTGTATATACTCTTTACCTTCTTGGACAAGCAAGCACAGCAAACTGTATCTCCAAGTCGACCGAGTAAATCAACAATCGGTTTTCTTTCGATTACCGGGACTCTGACTACTTTTTCTTACTTCACGTCTATCTTCTTCTTTTTTCCTTTTCTTAACCACTGTAGTATTCTAAAGGATAGAAACAAAAACAATAAACCTTTTTATTAAATAAATCTTGTAGAAGATTTTCATTGAAAATTTGTTGTAATAGTTCCTTGTCATCGTTGATCCCCGATTGAATTTCCTTTTTCTTTCAACCGATATAAAGTCAATGGCAATAATGTGGTAGACAGGTTGTCATGCCCAAAGCCGATTTTTTTGAAATTTTAACACATGAGACCAGAAAATATATTTATATGAATTCTTGTCTTCTTTGTAGAAATTCCCTGTGAATTATTATGCGAATAGAATGCAACTGCATTGACAAAACAAAATCTAAAAAATAATATCTTTAAAATATATATAATATTGTTAAGATACATTTATTTTTATCATATAAAAAATGATTTACATTGCACATTCATTTTCAATCATTTAAAATAAAATATATTTTTTATTACCGACTGATAAAATATGCGCCATCTAACGGTACTAGCTATAACTTCATCTTACCGACTGGTAAAACATTTATCGCCATCCAGCGATAATAATTATTACTTTATTTTACCGACCAGTATCGTATGTTAAGTTTATGAAATTAACACGAGGGAGCTGCACTATTTGTTTAATGTAGTGGAAACTAATTTGATTAGCGATCGATGTAAACAACATGGCGACCAAACTTAATATGTCAATATGAATTTAAAATAGTTTCTAACTAATCAATATGAAAACATGTAATGACTGAATAGATAGTGATGTGATTAAAATATAAAAGAAAACTCAGTTACGCAGCTAATTAAAAATTTGAATGTATCATTATGTCATCTGAAAAGGTAGGTTATGCGACTGACACTTTTAATAACGTTATGTACTTGTTATATGATAAATTGATTAATTGGTTATATATTATTAAGGTTCTCTATCGTTTGGATCAACCTCATGGTACTGGAACAGTCTATGCTTCTTGGCGACCTGGTAATAGTACTCATATTGCAACTACAGGCTGCGATTCATCGGTTGCAATATTTGACAGACAAGGAGATCTTCAGGAACGTATACAAATTCCTGGATTATGCACCGGCTTTGGTTGGGATGCAGATGGAGATTTGCTTGCTGTTATATCACAAAACTCTTCTATCATAACTTTGTGGAATGCGACTACTGGTAAAAGATCTCAAATGGATGCAGGTGTCAGGGATGGTTTAACATGTATGATGTGGGCCAAAAAAAGCTGTTTATTAGCTGTTGGAACTCAGAAAGGAAATTTAGTACTTTATGATCACGTTAATGCTAGGTATGTAATTTATCATTAATTTGTTAATAATTTTGATATTGTATTGCTTCTTATGATGTATGTTTTATTATGCAGACGTATGCCAATTTTGGGAAAACATAAGAAACGTATATTATGTGGTGCATGGTCTATCGAAGGTCTTCTTGCTTTAGCAAGCGAAGATAAAATGTTGACTATTAATACAAGTGAAGGGGACACTCGCAGAGAGATAACTCTGCAAGGTGAACCATCTAACATACAATTTAGTGAAATGAAAATGGATCATCGTATAGGTGGAGAAAATACGGTATAAATTATCGTAATTAATAATGAATTATTTGTTAAATATTACATTTATTTCCTATCTTATTTAGGTATCTCTTATCGTCAGCAAAACTACATTGTTTCTGTATAACATTTTGGATCCAGATAATCCTATTGAGTTGGCTTTCCAAAAACGCTATGGTCCAATTGTTACCTATAAATGGTTAGTTTATAGAAAATAATAGAATGATAACAAATATAAGCATTAAATAAAATATACTTTTCTTCATCTTTTCTTCTAGGTATGGAGATGGATATATATTAGTAGGTTTTGAAGCTGGATATTTCATTGCCATATCGACTCATATAAAAGAAGTCGGTCAAGAATTATTTCAAATTAAAAATCACAAAGATTCCTTAACAGATATTTCATTGAGCGAAAGTATAGAAAAAGTAGCAACGTGCGGAGATAATACTATAAAAATACATAGTTTACAAAATTTGGAAGAAACCGAAAAGATGATTTCTGTAACAGGAGAAACTAGTATTAGCAAAGTTGAATGGTCAACAGATGGAACAATGATAGCTGTAGTAACTTCTATTGGAAATGTTTTAATATATTTAGTTGAAATTCCAAAATTAACTAGCGTTTGTGGAAACAAAATAGCATTGTTAACAAGTTTGATTGAAGTTACTGTTCACCTTTATACATTAGACAAGGTATATATTTATACAAACATACAAAATCATTTATAATTTTATCTATAATTTATTAAATGTTTTAGGAAAAACCAGAACCACAAATAATTAATACTATAATTGAACCATCTGTGTTAGCTGTAGGTCCATTACACGTAGCTATAGCTTTAAATAATAGAGCTCTCTTTTGGGATTTATCTACGTATCAATATGATATTAATACACACTTTGAACGTGATTATTTGGCAACTGTTGATAGTATATCTTTGAACGAAACATATGTTTCTGTTTTATTTGATGGAAAATTACAATTACAATTGGTATATAAATATGTTATTAATTTTTTATTACCACAAAAAGTTACAAAATTTGTAAATAAAATAACAAAGAATATTTTTCATTTCAGATTAAAGTAGACCAGGCTTTAATAAACGATGGAAAAGATACCAAATTATTTCCAGAATCAAATATTTTAAATGCAAGAATAACATGCCATGCATTGTCGTCAGAATTTCTTATTTATGGAACTGACGTAAATTTATTTATTATTTTCTAAAAATAACATATTTATACCAAATAATTGTTAATTTATACAAATTTTCAGATGGGTCATATAATATATTTCTATTTGGCAGCATTTAACAAGTCAACAGAATTTACACATAACAATGGTATCAAAAATATATTCTTAGATGCAAATGGAACGCAGTTATGTTTTATCGATAATAAATCAGATGTATACATATATGATCCGATTAATGAAAATGTTATTCAAGTGCCTGAATGTCCAGATGGTGTAGAAGGTATTATATGGGACCAAAATATTTTCGAACGTTCGATATTTGCAGTATATAATAAGAATATTATTATAACATACATTTTTATCAAATACTTTGTCGAAGGTGAGTTTAATGTGTATGCTATTATAATGAGTTAAATTAAATATTAATGATATTCATTCATTATAATCACAAAGGACAAAAAATCATCAAAATAAATTCAACAAAGTTGCCATCAGAAACATTACCCATGTTAATGTATTCCGGCGAAGTAACGTTAAGCACGTCAAGTAGTAAATTAATACAAATAACATTAGCTTCGCACGAAGATGTAGGAAATATAGTAGATAGTAAAAAAATCAATGAAATATTCAACAATCATATTATGTGTAGGAGGTATATCGTACAATCTAACATGAAATCAAATTTATTAATTAATAATCAAAATTAAATAAACTTTTTAATATTTTGTAGATTTGACAGTGCTTGGAACATCTGCGATAAATTAAATGATAATGATTTATGGTTGAAACTGGGTCAAAGTGCTTTAGCAAATTTAAATATTGAATTTGGTAAATATTGTTATAAACATCAAATTGATAGATAATTTTTTACTAAATTAATAATATAACTTTCTAGCAATTCGAGTTTATCGACGTATGGAAGATGCTTCGATGGTTTGGGCATTAGAAAAAATAGAGAATATAAACGAACTGAATTTATTATGTGGACATGCATGTTTGTTACTTGGAGATTATAACCAAGCTGAGAAATACTTTTTACAATCATCTGAACCTGTACAAGCTTTATATTTACGAAGAGATTTGATGCAATGGGAACAAGCTCTTAGTTTAGCACAGAAATTAAAATCCGATGAAATACCATTCATTGCTAGAGAATATGCTCAACAATTAGAATTTATGTAAGTGTTAATAAATTATGGCACCATATCAAATCATTAATTCATTATATTTTTCAGTGGAAATTATCCAAAAGCATTAACTAATTATGAACGAGGTCTACTTGATCCAAACTCTACGTCTACTTCTAATTTGCATGATATTCAACATCAAAATCTATGTCTGGCAGGTATCGCAAGAATGTCTATAAGATGTGGAGACAGTAGAAAAGGTGTGAGTATAGCTATGGATAACGATAGCTCTAGATCTCTGCGGAAAGAATGTGCTGAAATTTTGGAGGCTATGAAGGTAAGGTTTGACTTTTCAAATATTTGACAAATATAAAAAGTCTTGCAATTTTACATAACATTTATATTTATAGCAAATCAATGAAGCCGCATTATTGTATGAGAAAGCAGAATATTTTGATAAAGCTGCATCGGCATATATCAAATTAAAAAATTGGCATAAAGTAGGACAACTTTTGCCACAAATATCTTCACCTAAAATAAATATACAATACGCTAAAGCTAAAGAAGCTGAAGGAAAATACGAAGAGGCTGCAAAAGCATATGAAACTGCTAAAGATTACGATAATATAATAAGAATCAATCTTGAATATTTAAACAATCCTGGTAAGAAATTAAATTTCTTTAAGTATCATTATTATTTCATGTTTGTTTTATTGTTACAGCTCGTAGCGTAGAGATAGTACAACAAACTAAAAGCATCGAAGGAGCTAAAAGAGTAGCTAAATATTTCCAAAAAATAAACGATTATAATTCAGCTATAAAATTCTTAATTTTATCTAATTGTCATGACGAAGCATTTCAACTTGCCAATCAGCATGGTAAAATGGAATTATATGGAGAAATTTTAATAAACACTATTGATGACGACAATACCAGAAAGGAAGACTTTAAAAATCTAGCTATACATTTTGAATCTCAAAAAAATAGTCTTTTAGCTGGAAAATATTACTTTCATGCTAAAGATTATACAAAGGTTCAATTTATTAAATTATTTTTCACTTGATATTACTATATCAAAATAATAACAAAAATATAATGTTTATAGGCTTTGAAACATTTACTTAAAGCTGCACAATTGACTGTCGATGATGATGCCGCATTATCATTGGCAATAGATACAGTAGCATCATCTAAGGATGAAAAATTAGCTAATCATTTGATTGATTTTCTACTAGGTGCAGACGGAGTACCGAAGGTATTTAATTAATTATTTAAATTATCTCTACAGCATAATATTAAACATTGTCTTCTTATACAGGATCCAAAATATTTATTTAGATTGTATATGGCAAGGAAGCAATATAAAGAAGCAGCTAAGACAGCGATTATCATTGCAAACGAAGAACAAATTAATGGTACATATTCATACATATTTTTAATGAAATATTTTATCATTGATTTTCTTTCTTTTTTTTTTCAGGAAATTACAGAAATGCGCATGATGTCTTGTTCGGCATGTATCAAGAATTAAAAAGAAATAAAATAAATACACCTTTGGAAATGCAAAATAATTTGAGACTATTACATTCTTACATATTAGTAAGACTTCACGTTAAAAGGAATGACCATTTACGAGGTGCCAGAATGTTGATCAGAGTTGCAAACAACATTTCTAAATTTCCATCACGTTAGTATAAAAAATAGTCAAAGAAAAAACTAATTGAATTAAATCTTATATACAATCAACTTTCTACATTACAGATATCGTTCCAATTTTAACATCAACAGTCATAGAATGTCATAGAGCTGGTTTGAAACAAGCAGCTTTCAATTTCGCAGCTATGCTGATGCGTCCTGAATATAGAACACAAATTGATATTAAATATAGCAAGAAAATCGAAGCTATTGTAAGAAAACCACCAAGAGCTAAAGATAATGAGCTCGAAGATGAACCTTTAACACCATGTCCATATTGTAAAAGTAAAGTTCCTGAAACTGAAATAACCTGTGATAAGTGTAAAAATACAATTCCATTCTGTATAGCCACGGTAACAAATTTTTCGTTGCATATACATTAGATACAAATGATGTACTATCATACATATATATATATATATTTTATTTTAGGGAAGACATATTATAGAAGATAATTTTACGGTCTGTCCACAATGCGATTTTCCTGCTATAAGAAGTGAATTCTTAAGGTTAGTAGTTCTTTTCATCTGAAAATAATAAATCTTTCACATATATATATATTTTTTTATTAGAATCATTGAATTCGATGAGACATGTCCAATGTGTTCTGAACACGTAGATCCCAATACTATATTATCAACAATTGATATCCGTCCATATCTCGATCTCCAAGAAAACACAATGGAAAAACAATAACTCATAGATTAAAACAAAATTTATGTGTGATAATTTTATTTATAACTGCACTAAAAACTAACTAATTTATTCTGAGTGCCTTAGTGAACAAAGTTAGTACTTCACACATACGATCAAAATAATTCTATACATATATTCAGTTACGTAAGATGCTTAAATGATTAAAAGATAAGTAAGCTTGATATTTTGATAAACAAAACCGTCCAATATATAAAGTACAATTCAATCATATTAATTAAGCGTGTTTGTTGACGTGTACAGATAAATCAAATAAATAATCTTATTAAGCTTGCCCACTACTTTAAATTATTTTAATTGATTACGCAAATAAATTTTATGTATGTATATAAATATATGCGAAATAAATAAATAAATAAATAAATAAATTATTGTCACCATCTAACGTCGATGTACATAATTAATAAGTAATGTAGAAATATAGATTAAATACATGCACACACACACACAAGCAATCATTTCATGGATAAGAGATAAGCGATGAAACAGCATGACTATGAAAAATCGAGGTCAAATAACTTTCTACGTATCATTCGATACAATTAATGAACTTAAATGCAATTTTATAATCTTTAGAAAAATGAAATTTCTTTATTATACTTATTGTATCATCTATTTCTAATTGCACATGCACTCGTTTTATTCTTTGCGAAATGAATACCAAAAATTTAATTAAATAATAATACAAATATCATCTATAATAAATTATGTTTCTATAAAATGTAAACTACGAGAAATAAACTTATGATTTATCATAAAATCGTAATGTAAAAAGCAACGTCACGTACGTCACTTAACCTAACGGGACATCGGCCGGCGCATGCGCGAAAGCTCTCTCACTCAGGAACGTATCGATAACTTTTTGTAAGAGTTTATCAATCGCTAACTGCATCAAATTTTATCAACAAACATAAATATTATTTCCACTAAAGAATCTTAGGAATGAAAACGTCGATTATCTTATTTTTAAAATATTAATGTACATTAAAATACATATTCGTTAAATATTACTGTTAGAAAGCACGATAGTAGATAAATGTAACCTAAAAGTATATATAACATAAACGAAAACACAATGATAAACACAATGAAAAAGAAATGAAAAGGGAGAAGACAGATATATTACGGTACTGTAAACGTAAAGAAGGTTAGATAGTGGAAGGAGGAGTGATAGTGCAATGAAAGGCTTGAAGAGGGGCGGCGGCGGGGGGGTCTGTATATCGTAGCACGTAACTAACATCAGCCGCTGTTAGTCCGTGTCTGGCGCGGTCACACGGCGGGGATTTTGTCGAGTTATCGAAGAATATTTTCAACGTTAGAAACGACGTAATAAAATTGTTATTAGATTTTCTTTCTCGTATAATTCATTGAAAAAAAAAGATATCGATCGTAACGAGAATAGAGAGTAATAAAAATAAAAGGAGGAGAAAAAATAATTATTTTCTTTAGTAATATATCGAACGTTGATAGAGATTTTGGTCGATCTCTCGTTTAAAGCTCCTGGTGGTGGTCAAGATGGCCGAAAAGAGCAACTCGCCGGGTTCCACGTCGGCTACGACCGGTTCCCAAAATAATTCATTATTTTTAACCAATTTTGTCGAACAAATCATTATGAGCCCTTCTAATCTTATATTGGTTGGTATAATTGCAATTCTAGTTTATAAAATTCTTAAGAGTAAATTTAAATCTGAGGATCCACCAGTCGAAATTAAACGTTTACCTAAATTACATCGTGATTTCACTATCGAAGAATTGAAAAAATATGATGGTCGTGGACCCGATGGAAGAATATTGGTTGCACTTAATGGAAGTGTTTATGATGTTACTAGGGGTGCCGCATTCTATGGTCCAGGTAAATATTTCAATACTATCAACTTTGATTATCAATGTTTTTGTTTTCATCTTTAAAAGATAATTTAATTAGTGAATCTTATGCATTGTAAATTATATTCAATTCTATTGGAATAAAAATTAAATTGGAATAAAAAAAGTTGTTTCACAGGATCATTGAATCAGTTTCTTACTGACAATATGCATAACAATTATATTACATAATTTAAATTGTTTTTTGTTTTTGTTTTTTAAAGGTGCAACATATGCAGTATTCGCAGGAAGAGATGCTAGCAGAGGATTTGCAACATTTACATTAGAACCGATTAAGGACGAATATGATGATTTAAGCGACTTAGACAGCGAACAAATGAGTTCTATGAAAGAATGGGAAATGCAATTTAAAGGCGAGTTCTGTTAATATTATTTTGATTATTATATAATTGCATTTCAATTAATTTTATAAGAGTAGATAACGCGTTCTCTCACCATCTCATTATTTCAAATTATATAATTATATTTTACGATGTGATTGATTTAAAAGAACATTATTTTTTTTTTTTTTTTTTTTTTATACATTATTAATACGATCAAAGTTCAAATGTTTTAACTAGATGACAAAAAAAAATAGAAAAACTAACTTATCATAAATTTGCATACATTTATATTAAAATTTTATAATTGTTATATATATTCTGTTCTTATGTTTTTTTAGAAAGGTATGATTACGTAGGAAAATTATTAAAACCAGGAGAAGAACCCACGAATTATTCCGACGAGGAAGACGAAGGTAGCCAGCAAGAGACTGAAAATATATTGGATCAACAAAATACAAAGTCTGATGTCTGTGAAGCTGAAATTAAATCAAAAGATGATTGACCGCCCCGTTCTCTATCTAAAATGAAGAAAGAATTTTGGGAATACACTGCGCGCACAGAGTTGTTACAAAAATTCTTAGATTTATCGTTCATAGAAATGTTAACGAACTTTCAGCCAAATATTTTATTGATTTTTAACACTATTTCTGAAAGATATAAACATATTAATATCTTTTAGTTTAATTGAAAAACTCTGAGCCTGGTGTGTTTCTTCTAAAGACTTCGTTTGAGTGCCTGATTTCAACTAAAACACACATACTACACACACTCTGATTATCATATAAAAATAATCTTTTTATATCTGTACAAAGAATTTTTCTACCAAAAATCACATCAAACTTCTATTAGGCAGAGTATTTCTAACTTTCGCTATGTTTCAATCATATTCTACTACATTAAAATGACATGTGTGTTTTATGTCACCTGTCATATATCTTACTATGTTACGATGATAGCATAGAATATGTGTACTTGGTGCCCCTGAAATTTAACAAATTGGTGTTAAATTTCAGTTGCATTTGAAAATTAGTTTTTAAGTTTTGCAAATTTTTTTTTACATACGCGCAGATATATATATATATATAAATATATGTCTACGCGTATGCATGTGTATATTAAATAGCGTATATGCGGCTCTGTTAATTTTGTCTAAAGTACATCTTGATTTTAAGTGTTAAATTACAAAATTTGCGTTATAATTAACGTCTCTACACAAATTTTCTTGAAAATATTATTATTGTTGAGTTATAAAAAAAAAAAAAATATTTTAACAGTAAATAGTAATTTCTGCTCTGTATACTTTATTTAAATTATACTTTTAATAAAGTTTTAGAAAAAAATGAAATCTTACCAGAACACAATGTTATTAATGAATATGACAAGAAGAAAAGTTAAAAAAAAGAAATACAGGAGCACATATTCTAATGTTACTTGCTAAATATTTACAATATCAAATGATTTCGAGAAAAAGAGAAGAAAGAAAATTGTTTTATACACAAAATTTGATTACAATGAAATCAAGATTTCCATACTCAAAAATATTATTCTTTAAAATTTATCCATTTGATATATATATATATATATGAAAACATACGCAGAGCTTTTCCCGCGCAGCATTTAATAATAATAATAATAATATATAAATCTATAAAATAATTGTTCTGTTTGTATAGATAAAAGAATTTTTCTATGAATTACAATTATGAAAAAGATATTATTCTATTCTACCACGTTATTATTTTGAACACGATAAAACACAGATTTGTTAATAGAATTAATTCATGAGGTCTCTACACTATTCAAATGTATTCTTGTAAATAATTCTTTGTAAGTAGATTTATATAAGAATAAGCATACATAAATAATTAATTAAATGCGTTTCACTTAAACAAGGAATAAGTTTCATGTGTTGTATGTTTATTCGTTAGAGGTATATTCGAGTAAAATTTTATTTTTCTTACAAAAAACAATAACAAAATGATATTCTTACATTTTAGGCATTGATCAATTTTACATCTATATGAAATGAACAAATTTAACTGTACATTAAAAAAAAAAAAAAAACAAATTAATTACAATAAGTATAATTTTATAATATTAAATATTTGAACTATTTTGAATAATTCATAAATTAACTTACAATATAGTTTTATCTTGTAGGATTGATTGTAGCATTACAAGAAAGCATTTTTTAATTTACTGTTATTATATCTTTGCATATACTCTGATTTTTAAATAGTCTATTATTGAAAATGATCGATTTTGAATAATGTTCAGTCATGATATCAATTTTTTATATCGAGGACAATTGTTACATGGCGATTTTTAATATAATTGTTTACTTTTATTAATAACAAAATACTAAACTATAAAATACTAAAAAAAAATAAAAAGATTCCGTCGTCTATCTTCAACTGTATGCAAATTAGTAATGTATTGTGTAATATATATTAGTTTTGACTTCTTTCAAATGAGGCCAATATTTATAAATACTTACTAAGCTAATTCTTTGTTTGTAAAAAAAAGAAAAAGAAAAAGTAATGAAAATGATATACTTCAATGTAAATTCCTTAACTCATCGAAAAAAGAAAAAGTGAGAAAGCAAATTTATTTGTAAACATTGTAATACATGTAAAAGAGTACATCATTTGAAAAAGTTCATCGTTATGCGATTCATTATATATATATAAAAAAAGAAAAAGAAAAATGACAAATGTAAGGGTGTAGGTATGGGATTCCCTATTGTTAAATATTATACTACTACTACTACTACTCTACTACTACAACAACAACAACAACAAAATATAATAATTTTTGTTAACATTGAATGATATGCATTGCAATGAATTTTTTCCTCAAAAAAAAAAAAAAAAAAAAAATCTTTACCTTCTCCATCTTCATTCTTAACTTACATTATTAAAAAAACAAGTTAACAAGTTTTATATTTTAAAATTAAACGATAAAAATGATAAAAACGATAATGAAATGCAAAGGAATTTCTAAACAGAAATAGAACAAATTATTTTGTATGTTGACTCTGACACAAAATCTGTTCTTCTTAAATAAGAATCAACTATAGTCCTCATTCACAAAGTGTTTTGTTATCCATTCAAAGCCATTGGGTGAATAACCAAACGAATACAAAGAACGTGTCGCATCGATCTGACAATAATAATAGCCTTGCAAAACACATTTCTTTAGCGCGAACCTAATTGACTATTAATTTTTAACGATTCAGGTTATGTCCCAAAGAAAATAAAATTATTATGCATAACATCGTTAAAATATATTTTTATTAAAGTAAAATATGCAAAACATATTATCTAATATTATATTGAAACGTTAATAATCAAAATTGAGGTTATACTAAACGATAAGAAAAATTAAAATCAAAACATATATATATATATATATATATATATAAAATGAAAATATTATTAGAAACATACTTGTCTTTTGCAAAGATACCATGGCGACCTTGAAACTGTTCTTTCCAATATATTATTTTTTAATTGTTCTCATACTTCTATTCGTTTTATTATTTGTAATTCATAGACAAATGAATTTAAAAGATTATTTTTGAAAAATCATTTGGAATGTTGATATTATCAATAGAATGTTTTTAATAAGAATTGCTAAAAAAATGTTATCAGTAATATATCTTATTTGTTTCTTTATTAGAGAACGTTATATTTAATAAGTATACGGAATTAATGTTATATATATATATTAACTGGAAATCGTAAACAATTCTCTAAAATATATCAAATCTATTTGTTATTTTCAATAATGGCGATTATATCAGTGTGTCCATATGTGATTTAGAAAAAGAAAAAAGTAAGAAAGAGAAAAAAGAAAATATTCTCATCATTTTCAGATCAGAATTGCATCACTAACATATTGTATCTATGTAGCATATATCGATTTCCGAGAATATATATATATATGTATATACATGGTCATAAATGTTTTTTTTAGCAATTTCATTAAAATTACAACGAGACTATTATTTTGGAAAAAGATGTTAAGAGATTAATGGCTTGAACAATAGTCAAAGAAAATAAGAAGAAGAAGAAGAAAATGACAAGATARTGATAACTGCGTCATACGACCGACACCCAAATGCGTTTTTGGGAAGTTACGTAATTTCTTGGCTGCTATCAATTCTCTATAGAGATATTCATAACCTCCAAAATCTGATCTCTGTATGTGTGAACGAAAAAAATATTTGTATCAATCTGTTAAAGTATATATGTATATTATGTATATACATCATATATATATATGTAAAGTAAAGGGAGAGAGAGAAACCGTGAGAGTCAATGAACCTTTACTATCAACTTAGCATTAGAAACAAATTAATAATAATCGTGTTTTTATGTTTGTTTGTCTGAAAATATCGAGATCGAAAGAGAAATTAAATGCGTATATATAATTTTAAAGATGTCTGCCATTGTCGACGAACGAATCAGTCGAAAACAAAATTAAGGAAAAAATAATTCAAATAAAAGCTATGAAAATTGTTTGTATATCATCATATTTATTTCAAAGATCTGTTCGTCGAATATCTTTGTGATTCATTTTTGATTTGCTGCATCTTTTCTTGTAAATAATGTAATATAGAAAATGCGCAGAATAAAAAAGAGGCGAACCTGACGCCTCTCGTACTCTGCAATACGAGAAGAGCAACGCTCTTCTTCACAAAGAGCCGCTGTCACCGAGGCGGGTGGCTAGGTGGCTGCTGCCACGCCGTCATCCAATTCCCGTTCCATTTCCCCTCTACCCCTGTAACTCCAATGTCTACAGCAGCAACCACTCTGCAGCTTTCTCTCTCTCTCTCTCTCTCTCTCATTACATTTCATCTGATTGTGAGTAGTACTCAAGAGTGAGAAGGGTTAACTTACAATGCATGCGTGCGGTGAGTCGCGTGCCGTTCGCACCTCTCTGTCGGCTTCTACCCCTTCCCTTCACCCACCCACTCGATCATCCATTTCATCCCCTTCACCCTTCGGACATACAAAATAAAAGAAATTTCTTAACGGGTTCGATATATTTCATTATCATAAGTTTTTCTTTATTGTTTACATATTCTTGGTATGTATATATATATATATATATATATAAATTTGATAATGTATATGTGTAGATATGCATTTGTTTTTGGAGATCTGATTTTTTTCTTTTTTTGTATGAAATTATAGGCTTACGTCCATGACCTTGTAAAAGCAATAGGGCCGTTGCGTGGGAGTCATTGTTAGCTGCGTCAATCATTGGTATGGTTTATCGTTTAGATCACATGACTATTATTATATGTTTCTATAGGAATAGAAATGTCGTTAACCTCTGTAGTAACCCTGAAATTTCTCTTCTATTATTATTAACGAAGAGAATCCTTTATTACCCTAACTATTTACAGACAAGAACGTCGATCGCTATTTAGTCGATCATGAACTTCGCGAGAGATATCAAGAAAGAGAAATCTTTTCTCTTTTACACGAATAATAATATTTATTCATAGTTTTTTTAAGTGTGCGTTTTTTGAAATACATATGTGTATGAAACAGAATTTTTATTACGGTCATTAAAAATTGATTTCATGTAAAGAGAATTACATATATATCGCATGTTTAAAGGTGTTTGAATTTTTACGATATCACATGTACATACATAAGTATGGAACGTCCTAATCGATCGAAATTTCTATCGTTAAGGCGAGTCTACAAGACGGCGACGAAATCTGTCAAGAAACGAATTCGTATCGATCTACGTGAAATGAGAAATCCATCAAATGAATTTATTAGAAGAGAATTAATCGTTTTAAATGTTGATAGACGTAAACAAATATACAAAGAATCTATTTATCTTTGATAAAAAGTATGAGTAAGAGAGATCAAGAAGAGAGAGAAAGAATTACTTTGATCGTCTTGACACACTAAATAAGATTACCACTATGTAAACATAAATATTTCTGTATATTCTCATCCTCCCAAAAAAGAAGAATGTTTTGTTGACAAAAAAGGATAGCAGAATAACATAATATTTCAGTCAAGATTGCATATAAAGAGTATGTAGAAGGTCAAAAAAGTAATATAATGGCAACATATATAGGAGAGTTTCTATTGAATAAGAGAAAGAAGGAAGATATGCTCGTGCGTGCATTCTCGACGGGGAGGACGCCAAGCGGCAAGTAAGAGAAGGATAAATAGGTTAGTGCATTGGCTATATTACCGGTGGCGTGAACGTAACCACGGCGTTAGTAATCTCACGTCGCTCAAACCAATAACAGACTAGAGTTAAGTCACGTGACAGTGGAGAACCAATCGACGAGTTAGCTAAGTTGACGGCAAGAGCGTATATAATATGCACTCGAGCCATTACCGAGTCGGACATTTTCTGACAAGCGTAGAAAAACTTCTCGTCAACAGCGGCCGCCATTTTACGTTAGCCGATGATACTCGTGCGATACGGAAGGTTCTCTCTCTCTCGTTAATCGCCTTTTTATCGTTGTAAAGAAATAATTAACGTCGGTCTGTTAAAGTGTCGGTTTGTTATAAAAGGTCATATTATAATAAAGAAAAAGAATTATAAAAGGACGCTTTTATTTTCGGCGTCTCGGTGAATCGTGTGGAGATCTCTCTCTATCTATTTCTCTCTCTCTCTCTCTCTCTCTCTCTCTCCCACTCTCCATCTTTCCTCTCTCTCTTTCTCTTTCTCCCACTCTCTCACGCATACTCTGGCTCATTCTGTCTCTGTCCTGTGTCGCGAATGTGCGGGGAAAGCTGGTGGCCGCGGCCGCGGTGATCATTCGCGCGCCCCGTTGTCGCAGTGTTGAATCCTCGGCAAGAGAGAGAAAAAGAGAGGAAGATGGTGGTGATTCCAGTGGGCTTAGAAGAGAGTACCGATACCATCGCTTTTAAGAGCTAGCGCCGTACAAGTAGCCAATCCACCAAATTTCGAACATTCGACGACGAGTCGTCGCCGCCGTCGTCGTCGCCGTCGTCGTCGTCGTCGTCGACGTCGTTGTCGTGTCGTCGTCGTCGTCGTTGTTGTCAACGTCGTCGATATTAACGACATCCACATTAACAGCACCAAATAAGATACAATATTTAGCTAGTATCGTTGTATCTAGCATTAAAAATTACCAATAAATACAACGATCATCATCGTCAGCATCAGGATCAGGATCATCGTGGTGCTTTTTGTAGTGCGTTCGTTCGTGAGTGCGTGCTTTTATTTAACTAAACGGCTTCATAAAAGTTTAAATCCGCTAACTTGAATACTGTTAAATTACTGCCAGTGCCCGCCATATCAATCTACTTTAGGTTACCATCGTCTTCGTCGTCGCCGTTGCCGTCCATGGCATCGGCGTCGATTTAAAAAATTATTTAATATATATACAGACACATATACATGTATATATATTATATAGATACATATATATAATATATATATATATATATACATATTATATATACACATTCAGCAGATATACATATATAAAATATCGTCGTCATTCATCATTCGTTGTCATCGTCGTAGTCGTCATCATCGACTACAAGTAAATCCTTTTCGTCGCTATGGTGAAGAAGTAAATCATCGAGAAAAAAGTTAAGATTTGCTGGAGGAAGCATGGCCGACCACCTGGTGGACGGTCCGCCTAGTAAGCGACCAAAACTCGATCCATTTCAGGGTCCTTCTGATTCGGCAGGCAAGTTATTATTTATATACTTATTATTATCATCATCATCATCATCATCAACATTGTTATTTTTTTATTTATTATTTTTCATTACTAACTGTCACATGTATCCATTTTATTCAATACTAACCTCACAAACAAGAGAGCACGTACGCGGTAAAAATGTTAATTTTGGACACATAGTTCTTGTCTTTTATTTCAAAAATAAGAATATTCTTCTCATTTCTCATTTAACATCGTTTGTATCAATGTAATTTTGTTCGTATATGTATACGCATATTTTGAATTTAATTACTAAACCCAAATTTGATGGGAAATACTGTCCATTTTGTGTTTCTATCCCTATAATTTTACTTTCAGTAGAACTTGTCTCTGTTTCTTTAATAGGCAGTTCCTTTTGTTTTAATTTCAATCAAGGTAATATACTTTCTTCCTTTTTTGTGTTATCTTTTTATTTACTTATTTATTTATTTAATATCGTTAACATTAGCAGCAGTAATACGCGCTGGATTTGAGACGCTAGGCTGTTTTTGTTCGCTAGAAATGAATTGTGCGCGAGTATATGCAATCAACCATCTTATTTCTATTTTTATTCTTATTTGTCTTTTCTCTCCTTGTAATTCTACTTCATTTTATTTCAAAAGAATCATCTGAAATATTAAAAGCAATTCTTTTTCGGTAGCAGAGTTTTCATGAAATTTGGAAAGAGTGATCGACGCGACACTTAAACTTTCTCGCGATAAGGCTACCGGAAAACAGTCGGTAACAATGTTCTACGACAATACCACGCTGATAATTGAACTCCTGCAATTTTTCATTTAAAAGTACAACCCTTTTTATTATTATTATTATCATSTTCTTTATAAGTAAATAGAAGAATATATTCTTTATAGTTAGAATATAAATAAACAAAGAATTTATCGATTTCAATGATTTGTGCACGCGTGTTAAACCTCGTGTACTGTCAATGCTTGTCAATGTAAACAAATAATATGCACTTACTTTTAATGATTCTGATACTGGAATATTTATTTGTAATATTTTTATTTATTATATCTTTCCTTTCTTTCTTTCTTTCTTTCTTTCTGTTTTTCTCTTTTTCTCTTTAGCATTGACCGAATGCGATCGATAAATGTTTTATCGCGAGATTATATTTTATAGCATCTTTTTATTTTTTAATGCGTAGGAGAAACATCTTTTAAATAAAGATTAAACAAAATGATATGTTTTCTATAGAAAAAGAAATGAGAGACAAGTTTTACTCAAAGTTAAATATATTTGCATTTTCCATGTATGTGTATAGATACACTCATACATATTACACTACAACACACCATAGATAAAAAAAAAGATAAATAAATTTAATTACACTTTAATTGTGGTTTGTTTCCAAAGCATAGATACAATTATTGCTTAAGATACTTTTAATATCATTATTTTATTTTATTTTTTCTCTCTCTCTCTCTTTCTATCTCTTTCTCTTTCTCTCTCTATCTCTCTCTCTCTATATATATATATATATATATATATTATATTTATACATAATTGCACATATTATTATATATACATTCTTTTCTACAACTAAACATTTAGTTAAATCTATGTAAGTTGTTGTACATTTTTTTTTTTTAAGCGACCCTTTTGTCGTTCTAGTCTTTAGCTCTAATCTTTAAGCGCATGGCAATGCATGAGAAATCCAATAATATATTACATAGAACATTTTGCTGGCATGAACTATGCGTTAACCACTTTTCTTTATACTATTTTTTTCACCTTTAAGCGCTATGTAATCATCGTGTAACGGTGGTCAAGTTTATGAACTTGATATATAATGCTCTCAATAATATTAATCACAATAATTATAATAATAATATTAATATTAATAATATTAATAATGTGATGATGTAATCAACGACGATTCTGATCTATTGTATTTCAAAATATATTTCATGTAAAAATTGATCATGTACAGGCTACACAAGTTGCAGAAACATCTTTCTTTCTTTTTTTTTGTTTTTGTTGAAATATTCTTATCTTTTTCTTCTTCATCGTTGTATCAATGTCAGTATTATTATTAACTATGTCACAACAAAGTTTTCTTCTATGCTATCTCATTGTTGTTTCTGCTGCTTAGGTGCTCTACTACACCTAAAAGAGAAAATCAAAGCTTAGGTAGTTATTTTCACACATAATCTTAAATTAAAAACTATGATATATGTAGTGGGTATGGCGCCTTTAATGATGCACCATGCTTATGCGAACTACGGGGGAGGTGGCAGTGGTAACATGCAACAAATACAGGGCCCGCCACAACAGCTACACCTGCACCATCATCAAGTGGAGTTACATTGGAACAACCATATCATCCATAAAAGAAGTAAATATTAATATCAAAAAGAAAAGAAAGAAAAGAAAAGAAAAGAAAAGAAAAAAAAAACGTCGGAAAGCTCAAATGAAAAGAAATTATAAACTACATATAAATATTATCAAATGTGATATCATCAAATTTGTTTGTCTGTCCATACTTGTCATTCTCATTGGTACTATACATTTTTAAAATGATTTCTATTCATATTTTGCATATAAGGTATATTACAGTAAAAGGGTACTTTAAATATGTTATCTCTTATATATGAGAAATTTTGTTAGGTACCTTACAAAATTATCTATCGTTACTTAGACACGGACTGTTACCCATTTTTTTTTTTTACAATATAATGAAGAAAAAAATATATAAAATATTAAATTCGTAATATTTACAGTTACATTCATTTTTCAAATATTTCATGCCAAATTTGTCTTAATCAATGTACTCTGAAACTAAAGTTACTTGCTATTTGAACGTAACATAGACATGCGACACACATGCACTGAGCTCGAAACTTTTTTATTGCAAATGTATCTAATATAGAATGTATGCATATTCCTGTAAATATAAATACATGCATATATATACATTATTATTATTATTATAAGTATAATATATATATATCTGTGCATATATTATATTGCCTCTATAGAAGAATTAATGTATATTAAAGAATATGTAACATGAGTATATATATGTATAATGGTTTTATTGAAATAGCTAATTAAGGTAAATTAAAATACTTATTATTTATATAATATTATTTGTAATAATATACATACATACATATATATCTATATATCTTTATGTCTCTCTTCAAATTTCCAGGTATGTTAGGTAAGAAATAATTGATATTGTTGTATTAAGGAAAAACAACTTCTTTATATTTTATATATCCATATTTTCTTTTTTTTTTTTGTATTTTTATTTGTATATATATATACATATATCTCTACTACTGTTTCAGATTAGGTAATTGCAAGAGATTCATATTATGATTAATTAATTAATTAATTTTATCCATATTAGAAGGAAGAAGAATATTGTTGAGCTACGTTTAGAGAGAGCATTGATTATTGCTTGAATAGATTACTTCTTTTAGAGAGTGATAATCTATTATTTCTTCGCATGACTCTATTTTATATTTCTAAAGTTTGGCGTATTATCAGTGGCTTTGCTGCTTTGGTAGTTTGTAGCACGATTTTATTGTTGATCAAATTTGTTATTGCTCTTGTAGTTTATAAGTTCCCTTAAAGTTGTGCTCTTGCAGTGTATGTCTCATGTCTTATTTATTTATGTATATTTGTTTGTTTATATATTTATATATATATATTTCTTTATTATAGTCTTTTACCCCCATAGAATCTTTACATTTTACATTTTTTCTATACGTATTCCTTTTTTTTCTTTCTCTCTCCGTCATGTATGGTCCAATTATAGATAAATGAGAACGAATAGACAAACATTTATTTTGTTAAAAACAAAAACTTAAGAAAGTATTTTTAAATTAACTATATATATATATATAWGTGGGTGATTTTTTTTCTTTTTTTTTTTCTTCTAAAAAAAATTATAACTACTATAATAGAAATAAAAATAAGAACTGATGTATAAATATAAATAAATATATATCATATCAAAAATAAAAAGAACGTGAGACAATAATAATAATAATAGAAATAAATGCATACAATATACAGACTGTGTCATAAGTAAAGTGTGCTATATATATATAGTAGGATTAGAATTTCATTTAAAAAGCTAGAATTTAAATAAATGCTATGGTGACGGTACTAAATCTTATACAAAGTTACTAATGGTTTCTTTGGTTTCTATGGTACATCTCACGCATAATATTAATCATTATTGATATGCGACTGGTTATGGCAAAAAGTGTTGATATTTTTCAATATTTCTGAATTATATATTTAATTCAATATCTTTATCAATTTGAAATACTTTTTCTTATAACCAGCAGATTTTGTTTGTTATTTTTAGTTATATATATATATATTAAGATGAAAACATTATTAACAATACAACTGTATATTCTCTTAGATTACATAACAAACACAGATATGTTCGATCTTGAAAATGATCTTCCTGACGATCTTCTAACTACGGGGTCTTGGGGTACTGCTACTGAAAGTGCTAAACCACCTGCAACAGGACCAGGGCCAGGTCCTGGTCAACAAAATGGAACGCTTGACTCTGATTTACGTCAACATGTACAACAACAGCAACAACAAATATCTCATCATCTTATCCAGCAGCAGGTAATTATTATTTAATTATTATTTAATTATTATTTAATTATTATTTAATTATTATTTAGGTAATCTTGAAAATACTATTTTATCATAATGTAAATGTATATTTATGTATGTTTTTATGATTTATATCAATTATTATTGTCATCAGTTATGCAGCATACATTTTTTTCTTATTTAAGATTTTTTCCAATCAGGGAAATAAAAACTTGGTTGCGAATTCATTGGCAATGGCAGCTGGAAATTTGGGTAGCAAAAGTCCAAATATGCAATCACCACCGAACGTTTCCGTCTCTAAGGGAGTAGTTGATCCACAAATGGTCGTCAGTCTCGGAAATTTACCTAGCAGTATAGCTAGTTCTTTGGCAAACAATCAAATGTCCATTGCAAATTCAATGGGAAATCTTCAATCGTCGATGAGTATGGCTGGAACCAATCCTACTATGTCTATGCCAGGTGCAATGAACTCCGGTTTAGTCATGACGAGTAGTGCTAGTGGAAATAATAGTATAGGTGGAATGGCAGGTGGAAGTTTAATTGTAACCAACAGTGTCAACAAACAACCTCTAAATACAGTAAGTTTTATGTTACATATGCATCTTATCATTGCGCTTTGTGTTTTCTTAATTGCACAAATAAAACAAAAAAATTAATTTTTTATCAAAGGTATCCATGATGGGTCAGAATACTCAAGGAATACATCATCCCAGTGGGCCTCATGGTGTAGCTCAAATGCAAAATGGACCAGGTATGATTAATACCAGAGCTGTAGCTATGCAGCAACAACAGCAAGCCCATATGGTAGGTTCTGCGAAAGGTCAAAGTCCTCATCAACAAGTGCATCAAGTTGGAATTGTTGGTCCTGGACAAGGTGGTCCAAGAATGCAAGCACCTCCTAATATGACGAATTTGCCCAATATGGGACAACTTGGTGCTTCCAGTCCATATGGTTATGGTAAGTAAATAATGTTTTATCAATTTGTTATCCCATATATTTTATATTTACATACTTTTTCATTTTATTTAGGATCTCCAGGTACTGGAGCAGGTCCTGGAGCTGCTGTATGTACTAACAATCCTGTTGGTGTAATTGCACCTCAACAAAAAGCTGTGACAACAAATATGGCTGCCATGCAAGCTGGAAGATTTGGGGGCTCAACTGGTCCTATTGGAACCACTAATGTTACAGGTGGTCAAGAAGGTGGTATGGCACAACAAGCGCAACCACCTGCTCCGAGTCCAGCTCAACCTCAATCTGGTGCACCAAGCGGTGGACAACCAGGACCACAACAAGCTACCCAAAATCAAATGTCTGGTACTGGCGGTGCTGCACCACCAGGTAAGATAAAATCATTTTACTAATGAATACAAACAAAAATATATAAAATAATTTTGTTAATGAATAAAAATAAAAATATATATATTTGTATATAGTTGCTTCAAAATCAACTGCAGATCCAGAAAAGCGTAAATTAATTCAACAACAATTGGTACTACTTCTTCATGCGCATAAATGTCAAAGACGAGAAAGTCAACAATCTAATGGTGAATCATCATGGCAATGTACTTTACCTGATTGTAAGACTATGAAAAATGTTTTGACTCATATGACTACCTGTCAAGCGGGTAAAAATTGTGCAGTGCCACATTGTAGTTCATCTAGACAAATTATCAATCATTGGAAACATTGTAATCGAAGTGACTGTCCTGTTTGTTTACCTTTGAAACAAGCAAGCAGAAATAGAAATACTACAAGTGTTGTAGCAGGTAATTTTAGAATATTTATTTATGCAGGGTGATGGGATACTGGTAGTACAAGCGAAAAGGGAGTAATTCTACATGACAAAATAAATCGAAAATACCTCTCACCCTGTATATTGCTATACTTAATAAACACTTATTAATTTAATCATAATTTATTTACATTTGATTTGTTATTAAAGCTACTCAACCAAATCCAAGTCCATTAGAAATGAGGAGAGCGTATGATGCCTTGGGTATAGCATGTCCTACAACGACTACTGGCTTGTTAGCTCCACAAGGTGTTGGTAGAGGTGTTGCCAGAATGCCAGCAGTTGGAATGCAAGGACCACCAGGTACTATTGGAAATGTTAGATTGACTCAACCTCAAACCCAAGGTAAGAGAAATCTTCTATGTAAATTAATAGTATTTAATTGATATTTTATAAAATTATATACAAAAAGAAATAACATTTATTTATTTTATTTTATTCTTTAGCTGCACCAGGACAATCTGTTGTTGGTGCTGGTCAACAAGTAGTTGCCCCAAATGTATCCTTACCATTAAACTCAGATCCTAACACTGTTGGTGTAGCTGGTAATCAGACTGCTCCAACGAGTGGTCCAATGCCTACAGCAGCAGCAACAGCTGCGAATATACAACAATCTGTTAACATGCAGCAACTATTTGGTAGTTTCAATGAATCAGGACAGCCTGGTGTGTTGGGAGAAAACAAACTTTCTAGTTTACAACTACCAGCTGGTCTTCAACCAGGTCAAGTAACTGCTACACCTGTAACAGAATCTAAATTGTGGCACCAAACTGTAACGCCTGATCTCAGGAATCATCTAGTTCACAAATTAGTGCAAGCAATATTCCCAACTCCGGATCCTACAGCGATGCTTGATAAACGGATGCACAATTTAGTTGCTTATGCTAGAAAAGTGGAAGGTGATATGTATGAGATGGCCAATTCTAGGTCGGAGTATTATCATTTACTTGCGGAGAAAATTTATAAAATACAAAAGGAATTGGAGGAAAAACGACAGAAAAGAAAAGAACAGCAACAACAACAACAATTGCAAGCTGCACAACAGCAGCAACAGCCACAACCATCAAATGCTCCTCCAGGTCCTGACTTACGACCATGTGCTCCGCAAGATGTAGGAGGGATTCTTCCATCAAGACCTGTTGGCAAAGTTCCACCAAATTTAAGGAGGCATTCACCGAATATGGGACAAATTGGACCATTATCAGGCATGAGCATTCAACATAATCGAATGCAATTTCCACAACAACAAGCTCAGCAGCAGCAACAGCAAGCCCAACAAGCTCAGCAGCAGCAGCAGCAGCAGCAAGTCCAACAAGCTCAGCAGCAACAAATACAACAACAGCAGCAGCAGCAGCAGCAGCAGCAGCAAGCTCAGCAACAACAGCAAGCTCAACAAGCTCAGCAACAGCAGCAGCAGCAACAGCAGCAGCAAGTTCAACAAGCTCAGCAACAACAGCAACAAGTCCAACAAGCTCAGCAACAACAAATACAGCAGCAGCAGCAGCAAGCTCAACAACAACAACAACAAATACTTGTTGGTCCTTCTGGTCCCAGTCCAAATGGACAGTCAACATCAAATCCAAGTATGGTTCAAAATTCCGGTCTTAGTCCGTTTGGTCAGCCACAAATGTCGCAAGCTAATTTAACAACGACAACTACATCAGCGACGACTAGTCAATTTCCAACCTCTAATGGCACTTCCAGTTTACCAAACAGTTCACCTGTACAAAATCAACATCAATTTTCTGATATTATGAAAGTTAGACTTGCTCAAGTTCAAGTAGTACAGCAGCAGCAGCAACAGCAGCAACCGCAAAGTGTAGCACAGCAACAGCAACCAAGTCAACAACAACCAACAAGTACTTCAAATCAAAGTGCTGCAACAACTGCAATGCCACAAGCACCATCGCCCTTTAGTAATATTCAACAACAAAGTAATCAGCAGCAAAATCAACAGTTTAATAATAATCGACCATTATCGGCTTCTACGCCTGGTGATGCTAGCATAACTACATCAACACCACAAACAATACCTCCTCCTGCATCAAGTGGACCTAGTCCAAGTCCTGTTACGACAACAAATGGACCTCAATCTACAACTTCCACGCCCAATACGCCTATAGTTCCTTCATTAATGACTCCAAATCAGACTGTATCTTCCGCTAATCAAACTCCACCTCATCCAGGTACGACTCCATCTCCAGCTGGTCTTGCAAGCTTAGGAAAGGGTATGACTTCTCAAGAAAGAGCAGCATTAAATGCTCCGAGAAGTTCGAACATGTCTTCACAAATGGCTGCCATTACTGCAGCTTTGGATCGTGATAATTCTCCTAGTCCGCCGATGAACAATAATAAAGGCAAATTAGATTCGATTAAAGAAGAAAATATAAAGATGGAGATCAAGCAAGAGGATCCGTCGGAAATCGAATGGATGAGAGAAAGGATGGATGGTGGTAAAAATGTAAATAACGATGTGTCCATTAAAACAGAGATTAAAACTGAACCTATGGAAGAAGGATCGGCTGAGGGAATTGTTAAAGAAGAACCTGGTATCAAAGAAGAATCAGTAACTTCTATGTCCAGTCAAGATACCACTGCTTCTGATATAAAACCGCTTGTTCCTGAACCGATACAACCAAGCGGTACATCATCGGACAAGAAAAGATTGTGCTTATTTAAACCTGATGAATTACGTAAAGCGCTTATGCCAACATTTGATAAATTATATCTACAGGATCCAGAATCATTACCATTTAGACAACCTGTAGATCCTCAAGTCTTGGGAATACCAGATTATTTTGATATTGTTAAGAAACCTATGGATCTTTCAACGATTAAAAGAAAATTAAATACAGGACAATATAGTGATCCTTGGGAATACGTCGACGACGTTTGGTTGATGTTTGACAATGCTTGGCTTTATAATCGCAAAACTTCTCGAGTTTATAGATATTGTACAAAGGTAATATATTTATTCATTTTATTTCAGAGATTTTCATCATAGTTTTTTTTTTTATATAAAACAACACGATTTTATACATGCTGTCATCTCTTGTTTACAGTTGTCAGAAGTTTTTGAACAAGAAATAGATCCGGTGATGCAAGCGTTAGGCTACTGTTGTGGTAGAAAATACACATTCAATCCACAAGTACTTTGTTGCTATGGGAAGCAATTATGTACGATACCAAGAGACGCTAAATACTATTCCTATAAAAACAGGTCAGTATAAATCCACACTGTATTTATATATAATCATCGTTTTATTGTACTTTGTTTTAATGTTTCAGAAATAATTTGCATGAAGAAATATTTAAGCAATAATTTTTTTTTATTTTTTTTTTTTGTTTTATTTGATTATTTGTAGTAATATATTTCCAATTTAGATGATTATGTTTATTGTATATTTTAGTCAACTGTGTTATTACTTGAGAGAAATGGCAAGATGATGTAGAGTAGTGCGCGTTCGATTATCCAGATTCTTTTGTTCTTTAAAAAGTTTTCTCACATCGAATGCGCTAAATTAATTTGGCAGGTTAATTAGCTTGATTCAGTTTATACAGGCTGTTTCAAGCCAGTCCCCTGACCTACAAATTATTATCCATTTCTAATCTCGATAATAATAGCAGTATTAATAACAATATTATTAATATACATTGTTAATTATCACATTGCTTGTCTCTCTCTTTTTTTATTTTGGATCAAATTTTACATTTTGAGATATATATATATCTCAATATGTTTAATTATTATTATTATTATTATTATTATTATTATTATTTTTAAAATTTTGTTAAAAATTTTTTTTTTAATTTTTTTTTGTTTGAAAATTATATATTGTGTTTAACCATGGCACTTGTTTTCTTCTTTGTATGGTACCTTCGCTCTACCCATGGGTTCCGTACTACGTGCACACAAATCCTTGTTTGCTGCTTGCTTCTTGTGTTGCCCACACCCCTTGCTTCTTTCCGACTCTACTACTACTACTACCACTACTACTACCACTACTGCTGCTACTTCATGCCACGAAAAATTGATATATGGAAAATTGGACAAAATGAACTTGGAAATTTGATATTTCAATCAAAAAAAAAAACCAAATTATTTATTGCAAAAAAAAAAATACGTTATACGCGTGTGATTGATAATGACAAAAAACAATATATATATGTATATATAAACACATATATATATATATGAACAATGAATATTTCAACAATTTTTGGGAACAAAACTATATAAAAACGAATTAATTGGCAAAAAAAAATTACTAAAAAACAAAAAAAAACAAAACAAAAAAAACCTTTATAACTGCATGTATAATTATGAACCACAATGTCCTTTATCAAAATTGGATTTGGATTGAATGTCGGAATATGAAAATATTGGCCTTTTTCAAAACACCGAATTACATTAAATGCATGCATGAAATTTGGATCTACTAATCTAATGGATAGATTTGGATTAAAGGCTTATGGTCTTATTTCCGATAGATACACCTTCTGTCAGAAATGTTTCAACGACATACCTGGTGACACTGTGACGTTAGGAGATGACCCAACACAACCACAAACGTGAGTTATATTTTTTCTTTTTTTTTCTATAAACCAAAATATATATTCATATTTTTCTATCTGTATTATTTCTTAACATTCATCACATTTATTTATTTATATTTAATAGTGCCATCAAGAAAGAACAGTTCCAGGAATTAAAAAATGATCACTTAGAATTAGAGCCTTTCGTTGTATGCACTGATTGTGGTAGGAAAGTACATCAAATTTGTGTATTGTATATGGAACAAATTTGGCCATTAGGGTAAGAGAAAATATAATTATTTCAATAAATATTTACACATATATACATTTGTCTGTATAAATATTTGATTTTTTTATATTTATTTATTTATTTATTTATTTATTTATTTATATATCTACAGATTTACCTGTGATAATTGTTTAAAGAAGAAAGGACAGAAACGTAAAGAAAATAAGTTCAACGCCAAGCGTTTGCCAGTAACAAAATTAGGAACATATATTGAGACACGTGTTAACAATTTTCTTAAGAAGAAAGAAGCTGGTGCTGGTGAAGTAGCCATTAGAGTTGTAGCATCTAGCGATAAGGTCGTCGAAGTTAAACCAGGAATGAAAAGTAGATTCGTAGAAAATGGTGATATGCCTGGTGAATTTCCATACCGTGCTAAAGCATTGTTTGCATTTGAAGAAGTCGACGGTACAGACGTATGTTTTTTTGGTATGCATGTACAAGAATATGGAAGTGAATGCACTCCACCGAATACTAGACGAGTGTACATAGCATACTTGGATTCAGTACATTTCTTCCGGCCTAGACAATTTCGTACTGCTGTTTATCATGAAATACTTCTCGGATATTTAGATTATGCTAAACAACTTGGGTTAGTATACTAATTTTTCTATAATTAATAATATACGTTAATAAATAGAAAATGTATGAATAAATTGTAAATAATTTAACAGTTACACCATGGCTCATATTTGGGCTTGTCCACCATCGGAAGGAGATGATTATATATTCCACTGCCATCCTCAAGAACAAAAAATTCCTAAGCCTAAACGACTGCAAGAGTGGTATAAGAAAATGTTGGACAAAGGAATTATGGAAAGAATAGTACTCGATTACAAGGTATATACATAATTGGTTTTTTTCTTCTTTTTAGTTATTTCTAGTCTCAAGTGTTATCTGTCCAACGAAATAATCGTAGTCAGAAGTCAAATGAGACTTAAAGTAAATGTCTGAAGAAGCTATTGTTCTTATTGCATTGATCAATTTGAACAGAGGATTATCAGACAACATTGTTTAACATTTTATATATTTAATCAAATTAATGAATAATATTATATAATTATTAATATGATTGAATATTTTTCTCTATAGGATATTTTGAAGCAAGCGATGGAGGATAAATTATCTTCTGCAGCAGATTTGCCATATTTTGAGGGTGACTTTTGGCCCAACGTATTGGAAGAAAGTATTAAAGAATTAGATCAAGAAGAAGAGGAGAAGCGTAAACAAGCTGCTGAAGCTGCTGAAGCTGCTGCGGCTGCAGCCAATGCTGTAAGATTACAATCTTGAATGATTTTATTTGTATATGATGTGATGATGATCGATTGAATAATTAAATATAACATTCATTTGTTTTCAGATATTTTCATTGAACGAAGATTCAGAAACTGGTCCAGATGGTAAGAAGAAAGGACAGAAAAAGGCTAAGAAGTCTAATAAATCTAAAGCGAATCAAAGAAAAAATAGTAAAAAATCTAATACCCCTCAAACTGGTAATGATCTATCTGCTAAAATCTTTGCAACCATGGAGAAACATAAGGAAGTGTTTTTCGTCATTAGGTTGCATAGTGCTCAAAGTGCAGCCAGTTTGGCAGTAAGTATAAATTTATAAATATTATTATTTTCTTTTTTTTTTATAATTATATATTTTTAATAGACACAGTTATATATTTACATATTTGACATTTTTATTTTAGCCAATTCAAGATCCGGATCCTGTTATTAATTGTGATCTAATGGATGGACGTGATGCTTTTCTAACAATGGCCAGAGAAAAGCATTACGAATTTTCATCTTTGAGACGTGCAAAGTTTAGTTCTATGTCAATGTTATATGAATTACATAATCAAGGCCAAGATAAATTTGTTTATACTTGTAATAATTGCAAGAGTCACGTTGAAACGAGATATCACTGTACTGTCTGTGATGTAAGTATAAAATGGGATATTTACAAATTGTTTTTTGATTCATAGTCACATTGAATTTGACATCATATGATTTGAATTATTTTCTTTTAGGATTTTGATTTATGCATCAGTTGTAAAGAGAAAGAAGGACATCCTCATCATATGGAAAAACTTGGTTTAGATTTGGATGATGGATCATCTCCCGTCGATGCAAAACAAGTTAATCCACAAGTAAATAAAAATTAATTATATTTTTTCTCAACGCAATCAAACTATTGAAAAAACATAAATTAATAATTGTTTATTTTAAAACAAAATTATAGGAAGCGAGAAAACTCTTGATACAAAGATGCATACAATCTTTAGTACATGCTTGTCAATGTAGAGATGCTAATTGTCGGTTACCAAGTTGTCAGAAGATGAAGAGAGTAGTAACACATACTAAAGTGTGCAAGAGAATGACAAGTGGTGGTTGCCCGATCTGCAAGCAAGTGATAACGTTGTGCTGTTGTTATCATACGAAGCACTGCCAAGAAACCAAGTGTCTTGTACCATTCTGTTCAAATATCAAACATAAATTAAAACAACAACAACTTCAGCAACGTTTGCAACAAGCGCAACTGTTAAGGTTAGTTAATATTATAATTATAACATTAAAAAAAGAGTTATGTTTTTCTTTATGCAATCATTATTAATACATATGTATATAGAAGGAGAATGGCTGTGATGAATACACGACCTACCGGACCAGTTGGAGCTATACAAACTGGGCAACAAACTTCAAACGTTGCAATAGTTGCCGGTGTTCCAATAAAACCAGGCATTAGTCCAACGAATTTACCATCACCGCATCAACCAGGAATTGGTTTGAAACCTGGTACACAGACGCCACCAGCACATGTTTTGCAAGTTGTCAAACAAGTTCAAGAGGAAGCTGCGAGACAACAAGTACCTCATGTTGGTTATGGTAAAGTAACACCTGGTGGAGGAGTTGGTGTGAGTGGCCAAGCTGGTGGAGTTATGCCGCCTCCTCAAATGCAACGGCAAATGCCCGTGCCAATGTCAGGTCCTGCTGGTACTCATCTTATTCCTATGGATCAGTGGACTGGCAGGTATAGTATCGAAGAACTTTTAAATTGAAGGAATTCTCCTGATTTTTTGTATCAGGATATCAAAATTATCTTAATTAAATCATCTTTATTTTTGCTTGTTTTATAGTAGGTACCAACCTAATGCTGTTATGCAACAAAATCCTTCCTTGAGGCAACAAACACCTCAGCAATTGATGCAACAGCAGCAGCAACATCAGGGTCAACCTGCAATGGCCATGGGTGGTCAAATGCCAAGACAACCTGGTGTTATCGGTGGTCCCGTAGGTCAAGTGGCACCTGCTCAGCCTCAAAGCAGCAGTATGCACAAGCATGCCTTGCAGCAATTAATGGCAACACTAAGAAGTCCTCATACTCCTGAACAGCAAAACCAAATACTACAAATACTCAAGAGTAATCCACCTTTGATGGCTGCTTTTATAAAGCAACGGGTATGTTATTTAAAAAAAAAGCAAATAACTCGTCCTTTTTTCTTAATACATTTTCTTACATGATTGATAGATTTGCATTAAATTCTCTTAATTGTATTAATAAATAGATATTCTTATATTTTAACAGCAAACTGGTGGTCAACACGGCGGTGGAGTGAGTGGACCATTGGGTCCTAATCAGGCACAGCAGCAACAACAACCTGATTTGCATATGATGTCTCAGCAGCAACAACAACAACAGCAACAGCAGCAGCAGCAACAACATCCTCAGCAGCAACAGCAGCAAGGAAGAATGCAAATACAGGCTATGTTGAATCAACAACAGCAACAACAGCAGCAACAACAACAACAGACTGTGCAACAGCAAACGCAATGGTACAAGCAGCAAATGTTGGTGATGCAAAGGCAACAGGCTCAACAGCAGGCTCAACAACAGGCTCAGCAACAACAGCAGGCACAGCAACAACAACCTTTCACTCAACCACCTGCTCCACCTTATGGTCAACAAAGACCTATCAGGCCCTCTCTTCTTAGTAAGGAAGTTTCAATATTAGAAAGGTTGCCAATTCAGCTTTTTCAGGGTAACCAAGTTAGCAAGTCAAATCTTCCGTGTGCACCAAATTCTATAAGTACATCATATCCTGTACGCGCTTCAAATCCTGTGAGTAGACCATATCCCATAGGTGCACCAAATCCTCCTGTGAGTACATCATATACCATGAGTACTACACAACGTCGTGTAGGTACGTTGGAACGTAAGGGTACTCCTCCGGATGCACCAAAAAATCGTGCAAGTGCTCCATATCCTGTAGGTGTACTAAATCGTATGAGTACACCATATCCTGCGAATACACCATATCCTGTAAGTGCACTAAATCGTGCGATTACACCATATCCTGCAAGTGCACTAAATCGTGTGAGTACACCACATCCTGCGAGATCACCATATCCTGCGAGTACAGCATATCCTGTAGGTGCACAAAATCGTGCGAGTACTCCTCATCTTGTAGGTGCACAAAATCGTGCGAGTACTCCTCATCTTGTAGATACATTAAACCGTGTGAGTACTCCAAATTCTATAGATACACAAATTCCACTTATGCGTTTTCAAAATTTTCAAAATTCGGATACCTTGCATAACAATAAAAATAATAAATAAAACTTCATTAATAAATAAGAATGTAAAATAGTAGTTTCAAATGCATCAATTAGTTGTTAATGAAATAGCTTTTTATCTTTAGTTATATACTAAGTTTTCGATTGAAATTTTAATGAAACAAAATTTTAATGCATATTATATGTATTTATTTTAAATACTGTGAAAGATTTATTTAAATTACAATTTCAATTTACATAAAATTATGAAGAAACCAATTATTATGTAAATCAGATTATCAATTATTTATTAACAAAACTTTTTATTTGTTCATTATTAATTACACATGTATTGTATATATTATATATATTAAAAATATTGTTTTGTTATTATTTGCCAAGTCCCGTGGCAACACACTGTGGTTGTTTCATTGGATTATATTCGATTTCCAATGGTGTTCCATGTTGGTGTTAAATGCATTACCGGCAAGAAAAACAAATCCTCTCAATTCCTATAAATAAAAGAGCTTTAATTAAACTCCTCTCCCAGCAATGATTGATAATAATTTATAAAACACTGTATTTGACAATCACTTTCAGGTTACGGAGGATTTACCGAGCAAAGCTATGGTCAGCCTGGATTAAAACCAACTCCCCCACCTGTACCTTCACCGCAAGGTGTAATGGGTCCTCCAGGGATATCGGTTCAACAACAGCTGATGCAATCTGTTCGTTCTCCGCCACCCATTAGATCTCCACAACCAAATCCCTCGCCAAGGCCAGTTCCATCGCCTCGTAATCAACCAGTTCCTTCGCCAAGATCTGGCCCAGTACCATCACCTCACCATCATCCACCTCATGGGACACCGACCCATTCACCTGCACATGAACTTGGTGGCCCTAGTGAAATGATGCTTTCACAATTAAGTGGTGGTGGTGGTGCACCTACTGGTCATCCTGCCACCATGCCACATCATCCATCACCTGCCCCACCACCGAGTAGTGGTACAGACTCTAGTGAAGTGACCCCTATGACACCGCAAGATCAACTCTCGAAATTTGTTGAAGGATTGTAGTGACTGTTAGTGACTACGTTGATTGTTTATTAAGTGACTTTTTAAAACTTATTACATACTTCGATGTGTACTATAAAAATAACATGGTGAGAAGAGATAAAGAGTTTTATCTTCCTTGGTTGTTGACACCATTAGCTATAAACTTTACTACAGCTCTGTGTGTTATAATGTTGCGCTGTTATCGCTGCTGCTCCTTGTTACTTTCTTAAATTGCTGTCGTCTTGCTGCCGTCGTCGATTGTTATCATCGTCGTCGTCTTCATCGTCAGCTAAATCAGCCAATCAGTCAGCATATTAAACACTAGAGCTGGCTGTGAGACAAGGTTCATAAATCTGCCTGCTAAGGACTATTATTTAGCAGAAACATGTAGATGAAGAAGAAGAAGAAGAAGAAGAAGAAGAAGAAGAAGAAGAAAAGAATAAGAAGAAGAAGAAGAAGAAGAAGACTATTTCCATCCGTTCTGCGTTCCTAACTAACTTCGTGGAGTTTAGTTACGATGATGACTACTACTTCTCGTCTCTACTTTAACATCAGGTACACAACTTAACAAAACAAAAAAAAACAATAAAAATGAACAAATAAGTTGTACTTGAGAAATGTTAAGAAACTGTGGTGCATACACGTGATTATTACACACTTATACTCTTTTAATCTTAATATTCGTGTGATATACATTCATTTCTTCTTTTTTTTTCGTATCTCTTATTTAAAAATAATTTTCTTTAATATTCCTATTCAACGGTGCAATGGGCAGAGAAAGAATGAAAGAGAAAGAAAAAGAAAACTTAGACAAGTCTTTTCTGAGATCAATTTAATTTAGCTGACTTAATTAAAAAAAAAAAAAGAAAAAAACAAAAACAAAAAAACAAAAAGCAACTCGAAAGAGAAATAAGTTTTAATATATCTTCTCTCATCAAACAAGAAATCTCAATGACTTAAAAAGAAAAGAAAACAAAAGAAAACAAAATAATAATGATGAAAAGACTCGTACGTTCTCCTCCTTAAACACATCCTATATTATCCTTCATGATGATTTCCTCATTCTTCCCTTCATCATCCTCACTCCTACCCGTATCATTCATTCCCTCTTCTTCGCTGCTGTTGTTTACATGCAGGCTAAGTGAATCGTACAAATGTGTTGTGTATACTTAAACGTTAATTAATAATTAAATAGTTCAAATACTATTAGTGCGTAGTAGCGATATTACATGCAGTTATTATAATACCATTATCATTATTATTATTATTATTATTATTATTATTATTATTATTATTATTATTATTATTATTATTATTATTATTATTATTATTA